GCGATACCGAGGACCCTGAGGAATAATAACGACCGGGACGAATGACGACGACGACGACGACGACGACGACGACGACGCGGGCATCACCTCGCAGCATCACCGTTTCAACACATAACACGCGCGAGTCACGCTGAACGTTTGAAACTCCAATCCGTGCTTTTTTCCTACTTCGCGCACACGTTCGACGACCGACTGCCGAATTTACGCGAACTTCACTGATTTCACGTCGCTGACAATAATTGCCCTACAACCGGCGTTGGGGGGCAACTTCGCGTCGCTGACAACTTTACGAGGGTCGGCAATCACATCTCGCGAACTGTCATATACAAACTCGGGGGAAATCAAATCGATCACGATTCGGAGCACGCGAAGTCGCGAACCGGAAGGATAGCTCGAACGAGAAGAAAGGAGGGCACGTACTTTTCTCGCGATCGGTCGTTCGGCACGACCGGTGTGTTCCGACACCAAGTACTCGCCGAAATGCCGACCTGTTACTTATCGAAGGTTGCCTTCTCGTTTGGCGGCGCACCAACACGAAGAGTCGCGAGACTGGAGTCGAACTGGCCGCCGAGATGAGGCCCAACTCCCCACAACTGGTCGTCGCTTCTGCGATCACCCTCCTCCTGCTACACCGCGGATGCCACTGGACGTTCTCCTTACCTTCTCCTCTTCCGCCACCCCTCGCTCCTGCTGAGGCCTGGTCCCGAGTCCCGACTCAACGCTCTCGCATCATTGTATACCTCCTGTTCCGCCGCTCGCACTCGCTCTCTCTCTCTCTCTCTCTCTCTCTCTCTCTCTCTCTCTCTCTCTCTCTCTCTCTCTCTCCCCGCGATCCTCTTCTTTTTCTTCTTTTTTTTCTTCTTCCGTCCATCGTTTCTCCTTACACGCGCGCGCAGATTTTCACTCGTGATCGTAAATGAATGTGCGATCGACGACAAGCCCTTTGCGAGTCGACGGCTCGCGTGTCGATTGTATTCGTGGTTAACTGCCCGGCTACGCGCGCGTTTCGCGGAAAGTTATCAGGGAGGCTCTCGAGGACCGATCGTCCAACGATGATCCTGACGAGGCCCGGATTCCGAGAACTCACCGATTAACTCGCTCCCGTTGTAGCTCAATTGATTCTCTTTGTCTCCTTGGATCGCATAGCGTGTCGTAGCCGCATCCACGATGAAAGATGCAATCAATCAGAGTGATAGTTGTTTGATGTTTAAAGAACTCGGATTAAATAGTGGCCACGGATGATGAGCGATATTAACGAGTTAGTATTTAGACACGAGTATAATCTCTATTTCAGCGCGTTATGTTATACAGTCAACTGCGTGTGACAAAAGCTGGAGAGCATGTGTATCTATCACTCTCGTCTCGCGATTGCTTGCCCGACCTTAGTCTCGAAGAAAAATATTTACTTATTTTCGGTTGTTCGAGAAAGCTTCGATTTAGGCCTGGTTTCACAACTGACGATTAACTCTTAACCGAAATTCAACTTATTCATTATTTCTTTTCAATTCTAGAATAGTTGGACCTCGGTTAAGAGTTAACCATGATTTGTGAAACTGGGCCTTAAAGATTTTAAATTAACATGATATTTCGACTTTATTTTCTTGCCTGTGCAAGATACAACGGCTATATCCCAAATTTCTTAACATCGAATTACAGCGCGTGCTATATTATATTTTACTGCAATATTGAATTATTTAATGACAATGTATATTAAATGCCGTTTAGAAATGTTATTAGTCGTTATGCTCTTTTTTCCGTTGTTTTCGCTCGCCGGTTTAACTGCCTCGTGTTTATGTTCGCGTTGTCGTTTTTATCTACTCCAAACAATTGAGCAGCTCCGATATTCGTGTACGTTAACTTCTAGAAACGCGAATATTCTTATGTCTTTAAATCTTTGAAAATTTTTGCAGCCAAAGTAATGGCGATGTATAACCGTAATTATTATCACATAGGCTGCGTTCGCTTTGTCGCTCACAGCTTGTTTGAGTATCAATTATCCTTGTTTAATATTTATTAAACAATAAGGATAAAACGACGCTTAAAGCGTCAAAATGAACACAGCCATAGTAATAATAATTAAATTAATGGCTCCTGCCTTTTCAGAGACATAAAAAGAGGACCAGATCAAATAGAATGGAATAATGAATCTAACGCACGTTTAAAGTTGGTCACACTTACCAAAAATAGAGAGATGATGCTAATACTCGGACCAAAGCAGACATTCGCCTGAGCCGAAGAATTTATCGAAACTGTAATTAAGAGATTAATTAAATGAAAAAAATGTAACGCGTTGCTTCATAATGAACTCCGAAATTATCCGTCATTCAACTGTCAGGCTGCGTCACGCGTTTCTTTTGCACTTTTAATGTTCATAATGAGTCTGCTCGCGTTGCATGAAATCCCCAAAAATATTTTTGTACTTAAAATGAGATAGATATATATTTGGCGTTGAAAAGAGAGAAAGCGAAGATGCTGAGTGCAAAAAGTACAAGCAACGCGAACAGGACTAATGCATAAGCATACATAAGAAGTAAAAAGCATTTTAACGTATTTATTTATATTAAAACTAATCCTTGTTGAAATTTTTATGCTAAATTGTTGACACATACGAAAATGTTAATAATAATAATTGTGTTGTTTAAATATTTCGTTTAATTGATATGAAATTAATGTGCGAGCGACGAGCCCTTTGCGAGTCGACGGCTCGCGTGTCGATTGTATTCGTGATTAACTGCCTGGCAGCTAAAATTTAATTGATATTTTTAATGTTATAATAACGTTATTTATGAACAAGTGAACAATTAAACACAAAAATAATGTAATTGTAGAACATACATTTTAAATGAATGAAATGTGCATAGTGTGTTTATTTTACATATTATATCATATTAAATGTTAATTTTATTAATAAAATATGCTTTTACAATTTGTTTCCAAATTTGTTATTTTTTGTGTTAATTTTTTACGTAATATTTGTATTACTTTTTAACACATTCATCTTACACATATTAAATTAATACAAAAATGTGGAAGGATCGTTTGGGAAACGTGAAATATGTTAAATTTATTACAAATTTTCCAACTGTGTACGCACATTATTACTGCACGTATAACGTTATCATAATTATATTTGTTCTAAACGAAAGACGTCAGATGGGAGATTTCGGAAGAAAAATATCCTATCACGGCGAACGAAAGAAGGCTTTATATTTCCTTTTTGTTTAATCGACAAAATTTTTTGACGTTTTGCATCCAAATCGTACTTTTTCTTCATTCGTAACCTCCTTAAGGGCCTCTCACGTTTACTCGGTCCGAAGTTCTCAGTATCCGTTTCTTGCTCCTTCCTTCCTGCCCTGTTCTCCTGCGTGTCTTTTTTCCCACGCTTAATATTCCGCGTTCGCCATTCCCTCCACTCTTCGTTTTTCCACTTTCTGATCGCTTCGTTCTCGTCCGCGTGCGTGTTTGTTTCGTTATATGCACGATATCCGATCGTCCGACCGTGATATAATTAAATCGCAAAAGAGATATGTCAAATCAAACGGAGATAATGGGCTTAGCAGTGTCGATTTATTATAGGTTTAGCAGTGCCGATTTATTATAGTTAAACCATCGAAATTATGTCCTAGGCCGGAATCCATAGTCCGGTCTTAATCTCAAACAATGTCTTAAGTCGGATCTTATATTTAAGACCTTCTAAGTCTTAAATATAGTCTTAAGATATCATGAACCAATCAAAGGGTCGCATTAGCGACTTACGACATTACTTAAGACGGTCTTAAAATAAGAACCGACTATGAATACCGGATTGGTTCAAGCTTAAGATCATCTCGAGTCTATAGATTCCATACCTAATGTTGCTAGCAGCTAGGATTTTATTGATACCACGCGTGGTTCATGAATAATGCTAGTTATTCCGTCATCATTAAAGTTATCTGCGTCAACAAGTAGAATCGAGTCATTAGTAGATCAAATCTTTTTAAGAACTTTTTGTTTTCATTTCTATCAGAAATCGTGTTATTACAATATCGAATCGAATTCAGTCTCTGAAAATTTTCTTCTTAAGATTATTATCGTATTTTTTTTTTCATTTCAATATCTAAGGGATTAAAGTAAAAAAGCGTTGGTCTTTTTCTGTATCAAATCGAGATGTATTTTTCTCGTTAAACGAGTTTCTTTTTTATTTATCTTTCCCAAGTAATATTCAGTAAAACTTGACGTTTGTGGGATTATAGGAAACATAAATAATCAAAAACGGGTTTATATGCAGGATTTAATAAAACATTTCTACGCGTGATATATCGGACAGATATCTCAGTTTGCCGCATATTTTACAGGTTTCAGAATTATGAATTATGTTTTTAAGAAAAAACTAAAAAAAATAAAACTAGCATCATTATTGTGTATTGCTTTTATTAACATTTAAACAAAAATGTTGCAAAAGTACATTTTTTAGAATGATTTTATTATAGCACTTAATTTAGATTGATTTTAAGTACGGAAAACCTTTCAAGTAACAAGTAACTTACTCGTAAATAAGTTTCTTTAAAAAAATCGATAACGAGTAACTGTAACTTGTTATTTTAAAAAAGTAACTTTCCATTCCCTGAAACTATAGGTCATAGTCTAATCGCAACTATAATGTGCGCAAGTCGCGTTATCACTAATCGTATGCGGTGTGCAGGAGACAAGGTGATGTCAAACGGAAGGGAAAGGTCGGCATAAATCCTAAATTTAACGCGGCACTCCGTATAATTATGAACAGGCGAACGGGAGGCGGGAGGAGGGAGCGAAGTAGCCAGAAGTAGCGAACCTAAATCCAATTTCGCGGATCAGGTGTAACGCTGCACTGGCAGCGCGGCTGCGCAGTGCGCGGCCGAACACTCGTCAAGTCGACAGTGTCGTCAGCAGTTGCGACTCGGTCGCGATCGGTCGCCGTCGGTGTCGCTCGGCCGCGCTCGCGCGGCCACGTGATCGCGTAGCGAAACATGGCGCGCGGACTCGCCATCGAAGATGGCTGCCGCGCGTTACGAAAGACCGGACGGTGTATCACGGGGAAGTCGTTTCTCGATCGTTGATATAATCGCCGCGCCGCCGTCCGCTCTTCTTAGTCGTCGGGCACGGTGGTGGCCGTCGACGCGATGGTATACGATATTAAGTGGATCATACCAAAACTACGGAACCCGTCCCGACTCTGGAACATCGCGAGCAGCATAACCTTCGCGGCGGTGGGCATTTTTTCGAAAATCATCATAGGTAAGAGCACGTTGTCCCGCGTGCCGGCCCACGCGTGGAATTTATCAGCCCGATGGCCCGAAAAAGTGGATCGCTCGAACGATACGGTTCGCTGAGCAATTCCAAGTCGATTCCGTGCAACGTTAGCCTGGTAGGTAGGTAGGTGGTATGCGAGCGAATTTCCTCGTGCGTTTCGCATATGAGAGCCATTGCCATTACTCGGTCGCGGCGGCGATGTGCATGACGGTTAAATAAAAAGTAGACAACACCCAATACGGCATCTCGTCGCAATTGACATCGACGATGATCGTCGTTGTCGCGCGGAAATATCGGAGCATGGTCGTTTACCATCACGGCACGTATACCGCATCGTGGATAATGAAGGCTGCGCAGAAAACGTCGATGTTGTTATGGAAATGGAAAAAAAAATTGTCAGTGTGCACCTGCGGAGTATACGATCGCGCGTGTGATACAATTACATGGATTGTGATATATGAGGTGGTTGAAATAAACCTTATCTGTTAACACTATTTTGCTGAGGAGAGAGAGAAAAAAAGAGATCAAAGTCTTATCGTATCATCAATCATAGTGGATATTGTTGAATGGATCGTCTCATTTAATATTCTCTATGACACATACTGTGTGTAATGTCGTAAACAAGTAGAATTCTGAAAATAAGGCAGTCTTTTTGAATTATCTTGAAATTAGCATGCTCATTGTATGATAGTTCTATAAATTTTAGGAAACAATATATTTACATGAAAACAGTATTTTAATATGTATTGAAATATTGAAAACAAATATAAAAACAGTTGGAAAATTTGTGTTAAATTTAACATATTTTACGTATCCTAAACGATTCAAAAATGTTTGTATTAATTTAATATAAGATTAATATAAGCCTATTCTTTTTATACTTGAATTTCTTTGTGCAGTTGATTTTTTTCTCTTTTTCTCTCTAACGTGAAAAAAGTGGAAAGATGAACCGTGTAAGAAGTTGACAAGAAGGCTATTAAATTATAATACATTAAAATATAATACAAACATTACGTAAAAATTAACATAAAAATATGACACTTTGATAAGATTTGAAAAGAAATTGTGGAAGCATGTTTTTACCAGTAAAATTAATATTTCTATGTTAAATTAATACATTAATATATTAATGTATATCCTTCTTTTCAACTTCTTACATGATCCATCTTTCTTCTTTTTTTTTCATGTTAGAGAGAAAAAAAGAAAAAATTAATTGCTCAAAGAAATTCAAGTTTGACATTTACGTCCATTTTTGATTTATTCATTTCAGAATTAGCATTTGTATTACGTTCGTATTATTTGTAATTTTAATTTGTATGTTTTTAATATCAAGAGAAACATCAATTTAACACAAAATATTCAACATGATCACATTATGTTAAATTAACATTCTAGATATGTTAAAATTTCAACAATAAAATTTTAACAAGAATCCGTTTTAACACGAGTACAAAATACTTTTTACTGTAATATACATATAAGTTTTAAAATCAAACGTTTGCATTTGGAAATGTTAAATGATTGAGTAGAAAAATTATAATTGAATATAATTGACAAAATTTCAGAAATACATTTTGTTGTATTTGACTAAAATAAGATCTAGGGAAAAAAAGTTTTTTAATTATATATATTGTATATTAAACTACAATTGTATATTAAGTTACATATTTTTAATTAATTTGCAATATGATAATATACAATAAATTAATTAGTAATAATTCTATAAAAATTATGATCGGTGAGAATAAATATGAACAAAAGAATTATTTATATAAATTTTTAGTTTTATTAGGCTAAATAGCGCTAAGCTTATTTTTAATTTTTTTCTTTTCTGATGTCAATACAAATTGATACATTTTTACACGCCATTCAATTCTGATATCAACATTTATGCCACAATAACATTGATTTTGATTTAGTCTTTACAAGCGGGAGATATTCATATATTTTAATAAAATTTTAGTTATTTATTTGGAAAATTATATCTTTTGTCAATATTTTTTGTCAATAAATTTCGTAGTTTTTCTCGCATTTTCTACATTACTTATTAGCAATTATATAGTTCTAATACTATGGTAATTTATGCATTTGTGTATAAACGTTTCAATTTATATACACGATAGATCATCTAAAGGTTACTCTGGTTACTCATACGTTTTCTGACTTGCAATAACAACTTCACGCAGTCACAGCAATTTATTATATCTATATTTTAATAACAGACAATCGCCGATCATTTTGTTGTGCGTTTTTCTTAGGATAATGGCTACATAAAAAGCTTAAACAGTCAGATGTAAGCAGCAGACAACTCAACGTTTTATATTTTTTACTGTTTATGTTATTGTCTTACTGTGATTGGTTGATTCGCTTAGGGGAGACTGGGACTTATTAGCACCGTTTTCACCATTTCGGCATTAGATTTTTTAAACAATTAATTATTATAATTAAAGTATACTAATATGATAGAAAGACTCTTTCTCTATATTTTCGTACCAGTAATGGTTCTATACACTGTATAGTTTTTTTGCAGTAAATGAAATATGAACATGCTGCATTGCAGTCAATTTGCTCCAATATACATATGTGTAAATTAGTACATATCACTTTAAGTTGCCTCTATGATAAACTTTTAAATTTATCATTTTATTATAACAAATTACCATCGTTACTCAACATAATGTGTCGTATATCACGAGACACTTTTTTAAACTAATAATACATCACTTAGATTTTCTCAAGCTGAAGGACATTAATACGAAATTATGAAATGTTAAAAAAAATTTATTTGCTTCCTCTTGAATCAGATTTTTTTCTTTTTCTATTGTAATACTTGTTTGATTTAAATGAAACTTATGGAAAAGTACTTATGTTATAAAAGAAATATTTTGTAGTAATTTTTCCATTATCTCTCTCGTTATAAATATATAAATGGAACGTAATGCCAACTAGCCTCGGTCTCTCCCATTGTTTACGTGTTACTGCCTTATATTTTTTATGTGTCACATATAATCTTATGTATTCATATCTCATATTTATCGATAAATCCGTTCGTCTGTTCCTGAGATTCTACAGTATCTGTAACGTAAATTGTAAATGCTAAATACGCATTTAAAAGCACATTTATTGATAAAAATGAGATATAAATGCTAAAGTCTCATATTTTTTTTTACTGTGGCAAAACATTAACTATCATTAATTTTAACCGTAGCATTCGTCATTAGTTCTCTCTCTCTCTCTCTCTCTCTCTCCCTCCTCGCCCCCCTCCCGCACCCTTCCTTCCTCCTTTGTGTGTTTATGCAACTTGAAGTTATCGTAAACAAAAACGGATAATTATGGGCAATTACAGATAGCATCGAATCAACTTATGACATCAGACCATAAGAGGAGTATCAGACCACGGGTTGACGATTACGATTGACGGCTACCCAGTTTTCTATTTCAGCCAATTACGATGAACTCGCTACATCGTGATTGGTTGAAGTAGAACCGGGCAACCATCAATCGTAATCATCAATCCGTAGTCTGTTACGGGCATTAAATAATAGAAATCGGAGTACTTTTGAGAATGGGTCGTGTAGAGTACCTATTTCGATAATGTGTGGCGAAAAGTCTGATTTCCTAAATTTCCGAAATTGATAGGTGCGCGACACCGAATACCACTCGATTAAATCCCAATGATCTTTCGCGTATTGCGTCAAGTCACGATTCAAGGGTCGAGATGCTCCACTTCTCGCAACATCTCGGACTGTTATCGCGACACCGAATACCACTCTGTATGGCATAATCTAACAAAGAATTTCTCTCTCTTTTGCATTTAAGAATGGCTGAACAAAACAACGGTGTACAACAAGCACATTATTGTGCGCGCCTTAGACCTCCGGCCGAAAAATGTTCCGCTCATTACCGTGTCGAATCATCACAGTTGCTTCGACGATCCGGGTATATGGGGTAAGAGACTTTTTTTCTCCTTTACGTCGTTTGTTAAATGCCTTTCGGCATTGCGTATAATAACGTATCATCAGTTCCTCCCTCCCCCGCGTTCAGCCTCACGCGGGACTAAGACTTTGCGTTGTGCGCGGCTGATTTATCGTCTCGAGAAATTGAGAAAAATAAAATGCCGCGTGTGCGAAACATACGAATCATCCGGGATGTATAGTGCCGGCGGTCCGTTCATTCTCCCGCCTAATAAAACGGCATGCTTCGAGGCAGTCTTTACGATCCCGGGCCGCGCAGTTAGAGTCGCGGACGCAATGAAACGTAAGGACAAAATACATTGTCGCTTCATGACGATGTGGGACCAACCGGTTGTTGAAAGAGAAATCAAATGAAAATTCATTTTGATCAAAAGACATTATTTTTTGAATAAAATTACTGATAGCTTGTGCAACAGAGCACGAATAATTTCTTTGAAATTACTTCACTAAAAAAAAAGATATTCAACAACGTTATTTTTATCGAAAATAATCTTGTTAATTTAACAACAGTATTAACGAAACAAATAAAATTTTATTAAAACAAAGGCATGACGTATTTATTTCATGCTATTAAATTAACAAAATTATTTTCGATTAAAATATGCTGTTGATGCATCATTTTTTTTCAGTGTTGAATCGCGGGGATTTAAACTTTATGCACAGTAGAAGGCATAGGCATCAGGAAACTAGAGAATAAAATCTAGAGCTTAATAATGTGCTCTTTACTCTGGTTTCAATAAAGCAGTAATATCTCACAACTCGGGACCTGATATTAAATCGGATCCTATTTTAATTTTTCTTCTCTAGTCGGTTAAATACATTTATCTCAGACGTATGACTGTGCGCCGATTACTTTCGGACTTGCAATATAATCAACCTAAAACGATAGCATCTTAAATCTGTAAAGGGATGTTAGCCACTAACCTGTAAGGTTAATGGCTAGCATCAAATCAGCGATGAAATTTAATTTGAAATTATTATTATTGTGACATTATTAATATTATTTCAATGTAATTGTGTTGTAGGTCTGAAAATAATTGACGCGAAGTCATATATATATCTCAGATAAATGTATTTAAAATATATATAGGAATATTATTTCAACATCTAACTTTGACAGTAATTGATGCTTTTCTTACTTGATTTATATTTTTAGAGTGTGGTCCTGTTGTCTGTGCTTCTTATTGTGAAAAAATAAGAATTTTAATCTCGCTGATACAAGACATAACTGTCGATAAATAATGAGGATAAGATGATTAACTACGAGAATTGATTCAACGTGAAAGAAGAACAATGACGATAAGCGCCCATTAGTTGACAATGAGATACAGTAAGCATGAATATCTGCGTTATTCGTTTATCGATGCCCCGTTTATCGTTCTTCGTTCTTTCTTCCTTGTATCTTTGTTCTTCATTTCATTGTGTCCCTGACGTTTGATTGTGTGCCGATGATAATTAAAAGTAATTTTTTTCTATATATTTAAAAAAATTTTTTTAAGACAAATGTTAGTTTTTTGTAATCGACATCTTCTCATATGCGTTTGGTCCCTCTTTTGAGACGTGTTTTTCTTTCTCAGAACGACGCCGATATGCGATCGCGAATGAAAGAATTTAAGACAGAAAAATCTCTGAACTCATTTAGCGACCCTGGACTTCAGGCACTCGTGTAGCCGACGTAAGGTACGATGGTCGCTCGCCGCGCATGACATTTGTTTTACGAATGTCTGGCATTCCTACTTTTTCATGCTCGGCAAGTGCATACCCATCGTCCGAGGAGATGGCGTGTATCAGGAAGCCGTGGACTTCTGCATCGAAAGGTTGGCCCTTGGCGAGTGGGTGCATGTCTTCCCCGAGGGAAAAGTCAATATGCTTAAGGAAGAAATGAGGTTTGTACTTGAATTACTTTTACAATCTTCTGTTCTGAGACCAGATAATGCGATCTACGCATACTGTCTATAAAGTTTATTCTGTCGCCGTGTATATTTTAATCTCTGTATATGTACGAAAAATGAGGTGGTGTATAGATGAGTGTTTTGTAGAAGTTAATCCAGAAGTAGTCATCTCATTTTTTTTATATTTTGGTGTTTAAAGAATTCGGATTAATCAGAATTTTCTAGAAAAAGTAAGTAGAAACCAAATAAATATTAAACAGAACAAGCATCGTTAATAAGTAACTTATTATTATGACAGTATTTATAACAAAATAAAAGTTTTAATTAATATAACGCTTTTTTATTGCACATTTTCGATGTAATTACACATTTAAAGATTCGTAAAGAGTAATTATAAAAAAAAGGAACATGTTAAATATATACAAAACAATATTTTATATATAATTCACGTTTTCTTATCGCTATAAAAACACCTCAGGTTTTTATTTCCGTGTTAATAATAATACTATATAGTCACACGCAGTGAAGATATATATACAATCGATGATATTGTTTAGATTGAAATGGGGCGTGGGTAGATTAATATTGGAATCACCCATCACGCCTATCGTAATTCCTATCTGTCATCTCGGTATGGATGAAGTACTTCCCAACGAACCGCCGTATATGCTTAAAGTGGGAAAAAGAGTTACCATGAATTACGGTGAGCCCATAGACTTCAGTGGATTGCTGACCGAATTGCGGGAATCAAAAGCAAGCGAGATGGATGCGCGTAAAGCGATAACTGATCGCATTCAGCAAGAGCTTTCCAGGTAGTGCTATAATTGTATCGGTCTAACGTTTCGAACTATTGAATAATGCTCGATAAAACAAGGAAAGTGAAAAAATATTTAAACATTTTCAGATTGAAAGCAGCAACGGAAAAGCTTCATGCTAAGTTATGACGAAGATTATCTATTTTTCGTCATCCCTCCGTCTAGCCTTAATTTGCCAAAAATATAAAGAGAAATTGATATCAACAAAAGTGAGATTTGTATGTAAACATAAATCCGTACGAAATTAGTTTTTTTTTTAATGCGTATTTTGTAATATGTAGTATTTTTGACAATACTGAGTAATGTAAGTATCAATTGTATTAGAAGTCATTCTGCGAACTACGATGTTTATATCGTTTAAATTATTCTTCGTAACTCTTCGAGAGATCACTTGATACGCCTACACAAAATACATCTATAAAATTATGCACTTGCTTCCGCAATTTTACATATTTTTCTATTAATATAAATTGAGATCTGTTTAAGCGATTTATTGAAATCCTCACGAGATTTAGTTTTCGTTTAATTAATTTCAAGTATAAAAGTTATTAATAAATTTTACTTGATTTTTATTAGTTTCATTACAGATATTTAATTTCTATATTATAAACACAGAGTGAACGAACGAACTTTTTAATGGAGAAAAAGTTGATTGCAACTTCATCAGAAATTTCTAGCGGAGGAGTGCATGAGCTTATACATTTTGCTAATATATTCCTAATATATTCTCGAGGAGTTATATATTTTATGAGTAACGTCTTGTATAATATCTATATCCAGGATTTATAAATATCTGTATACAGATTTATAAATATCTATATATAGGATGTCCTACTTCTCGCGCGCAAAAATAGGATTTCTTGTATATTACATATGTACATAGTATGAATAATTATAACATTATTATGATTTTACGATGATTGTCAATAAAAGTTTTGATAGTACAAGCGAGGACTATGTAATACAACCGAAGTCTAATTAACGTAACTGTAAAAATCATGCCAGTACCTCATCCATTATTTTATTTTCGAAAATCTAAGGTGTCATTATTAACGCGAATAAAGCACATTATTATTGATTAATTATATGTTTCTCGCTCTCGTTACAAGCCAATTCGTGCCAATTAATCAATTTATACTCGTTTTGTTATGAGACTCGTAATAGGCATTCACATTTGCAATTAAACAAACAAGTGTTATAATTAATGCACAGCGCAAAAGATTCGCCTACCACTCGTAAGTTGTAATATGTTGTAATTCTAAAATTGCATAAAAACTCATTTGAAAAGCATGAATGTAGATGCAGTATGGATAGGAAATAATTTTTACTACTTCGTTCGATAGCTAAAGAAAAAATCAATATATTCGTTCGTTGATGATACATGATAGTTTTTTTTTAAATATTTATTGCGATATGTTAAGTCGTTACAACAGCTGTTATTATGACAATCGCATATCTATGTACGCTCCCGTACGTGTGCGTATATACACAATGTTGAATACATATACTTTTATACTATACACACGGACTGCTATCAAAATTTTTGGGGCTATTCGAACGTGATAAATTTATATATGTATCATATACTTGTTGAATATATTATTAAGTATTAAAATATCGTTTTTCTCTAGCGTCTGAAATAAAAACTTGTGTTTGTTTTATCGTTTTTCACATTTTTCTTAACGTCAAGTAAACGTAAAATTTTTGTTCCCTTCCCTAGAATACGTAAAGTTTCTACACCATTTTTGCATGCTATATACAATACCTGTTTACAAACGTGTAAGGCAATGACTCTGCAAAGGGTAATCTAAAGTAATACATAAAAATCATGCCAATTATAAGGGATTCTTAAAGAGTTCGTTGATCATCGATTCTGAAGATTTTATTACTATGTGCATAAACACAATTTACCATAAAAGAATAGTATTTTTGTGTTGCCGACAAACATTAACTCTAATATCTATCGTTCTTTATCTGTTTTTTCCAAAAAATATTTATATTGTCAAATATAGTGATATAGATTCTGGTAACGTCATGATATTTTGTGCAAGATTTTGTTGAACCTAAAATTTCATAAGATTACAAGAGCTTATTTTACACTGTTGAGTGTATGTAGACTTGGAAGCTGATATAATTACTAGTAAATCCTAAAGAGTAGGAGAGATAAATATATAATCCTAACATATATTTATCTTATTATTTATATGCCTTTTGAGTTATCATTGTTGCTATCAGAAATCGATTCACGTAATCAATTACACAGTTACCATATACATCTAAGACAGTGATAAATATATTAAAAGGTGTGATTATATATTACAGATTTCATTATAATATCCACAAATTGATTATACAGGACATACACTTGACTGTTGTCGACATATATAGAAATAGATTATGCTATGGGTTACATAACTGCCTGATGTCATATAATCTATCAATACGAAGACCGCAAATCCCTTGGCACGTTTTTAATTTGTAAAACTGGACATTCCAGTCTTACGAGCGATACAAAAGCGGCGTACGATCCTCGCATTGTATCGTACGAACACGAACGAGAACTATGTATTTATATATATTATGTATATCATAAACTTTGAATAGACAGAACAGTAGATGAGTATAACGAGAGAAAATTTACTTAATGTACATACTTATATATATATATATATAGAAAGAGAAAAATAAACCTTGGTTAACAATATAAAATCGATCGCGAAACTTGGCCCGCGTTAAACAAGATATGTTATAAAATTGTATGGTGCTATCAACTGTATAATAACAGGGAGATATGTTGGACTAGAAAATGGAATTTCTCGAATAATTATATCGCGAATGTATATTCTTGATTTACAGTCGAGCAGTCATAAAAATGTCAATCAAAATAAATCTAAAAATGTTTCAAATTGCTCCCAGCATGATTACTGTACGTATATTCCGTAAATTAGATAATATACAATTATATACTGCTATTATATCATACAAATTTTTTTTAATCACACAATCTTTCTATCTCTAGCGTGTACACATATGGAAAGAATATGATACGAAACGACTCGTAAAAATGACAAATTTTCCAAAGCAATTGATATTTTGATTGGTTGTTCTGTACGTTTAGGCTCGTTTTTGGACGGCAGATCTAATACAAACGAAGTAAGCGTTGTATTATATTTCGTCAAAACATAGAATAGGCCAAACGGGATAATCTAACATCGCTCATATACACATATATATATATATCACAAATTTAATATAGTATACTCTTAATATAATTACGTTAAGCTAAACTCTTGTTTATGTAGCGAGCATCAATAAATAAGATATCGAAATTTTAAAAATTCATAAAATGTGTGCAAGTATCGCGATCGAAGAGAAATAATATTCAGTACTATTAGGTGTCACAAGAAGCATGATATAGTTATCATCCAAACAACCTTTCAATCCATCATAATAATCTACAGGTACGTTATCTTGTCCTAATTAAGCAAGGGAAGTTCTTTGTTCGACATTGCACAGCAGTCACGCCAGATTTGAAATAGATTTGTCTGACTTTTTCTTTTTTATATCTAATGTTTCTAACGATGTCCATTTGTAATCCTTCGCAATCTTGTCTTGTCAAAATTGCAAATACTTCCAAGTAAAGCAGCACGATCATTTGATGATTTTGATGCACTATTCGATGCACCACCGGATGCTTCACATGGCGGTGGTAACGAAGGTGGTGGTGGTGGTGGTGGAATACCTTTACCAGGAACTGCGTTTGTTTGCGTAACTTCCACAGAACCTTAGTAAAAAAAAATTTTTAATGATAAACTTTTCATAGAGATTTACATATACATTTCATTTTAAGAAATTCAACAAAAAACTGTCTAATTCGTCTCTTTAGAGATGTAAGGTACATAACTAATCAGACCTGGCAAGTACATAGATATATTATAAAAACAACATCAAAAGATCTAAAAAGAATATCCACAAGATAAGCTAAGGGTGTAATTACAAAATGATTATTACAAAAAATATATTTTATATGGAAAACAATGCAAAGCAATGATGAGGAAAAATCTTATAAAGTGAAAATAAGGATAAATGTGAACATTCGTTAAAGATATTAAGATCTGAATGCTCGAATGACCTACGTGAAAGGAATGACCTCAGCTTGATGACTACACGCCATCAACTTTTGTGTCCAGCTAATCAAGAGATGTAAAAACGTAAATGTCAATTAGCATTGACGACAATAGCAAGGAGGAGCATTATAATGACTTACGAAGCGATGGAGGAGTCAACGTTCCAACGCTGGTAGCCGTGGAAGTACTTGTGGGACTGTCCGAACGTTCTGGACTCTTACCATTTATTTGCTTTGTTCCGTTCGTACCTAGTTGCGAGGAAAAACGTTGTTCTTGCGCCAATCTCTGCTCCTTTTTCTATAGAAGAAAAATATAAGATTGTATTTCGATCAATCATAATTTTTCATTCTGAGTTCCTTTTTGTTTATACTCACTAGTTTATGTTTTCGTTTCTTCATTTCTTCTTCTGAACTCATCATTTCTTGAACCTTAACGAGCCTCTTTTGATGTCGAGCAACTTTCTGTTCATCGCGCAATCGTTGTTCAGCTTTGTTTACAGCTTCTTGTAAAGCCTCTTTTAAATGATTGCTCAATTTAAAATACGGCTTCTCCACAGCACCAATTGCCAACGCAGCGCGCCTCGCTGATTCGAAGAATGGATGTTCCAACAGCCGTACTACTGTTGGTAGATCTTGTTTCAAAGCTTCCGGTGACAAGATAACCTCCAGCAAATTTTTCAAATTCGCTTCGCATTGCGGTAAATCGGAGCACGTTGCCTCCAAAAGCGGTCGTCCGAACGTCATTTCGTATAAAACGTGTCCAAATGAATATACATCAACCTGAGTCTGTTAAAAAAACATATGAAATGATAAATACAAGAAAACATTCAGAAAGAATATTTTTCAAGATTGAAAAATTCATGTATTCTTTTGCTCTTTTACTTTTAATAGGTATAGAATAACATATACCGTGGCGTGCAATTTGCGCCTTTGCACAACGTAAGGCCGATAAAATGCCGGCAATCCTAGGAGTCCATTTTCTATATCCAATAATTTAGCGCATCTTGGTGTTAAAAGGACATTGCCAGTGTGTAAATGTCCGTAAGGTAATCCTTTTTCATGAAGAAATCCTAGAGCTTCTAATATCTACAAATCATATTGTACATCAAACCGAGTAATCTCAAAATTATTTCATTATTACATATTTTTGTGTGCAATAATTATTAACCTGATAACCGTACGTGGCAATTTCGTGTATTGTTAATGCTTTTATTTGTTTCGGATTTCCATATTTCTTTATAAATGGCTGTTTAGGCTTGGTGATACATAAAACGTCACGTAATGTGCCCACCGAATAAAAATTTCTTATCATTAGTGCCCCGTTGTCTGTAACATGCTGGTGTACTATTGGTTCGATGTAAGTATGTCGTAGAGAGCCTAGAGTCTTGAAAACCCCTTGTATATCTTTATCTTGTAAATGCTTATCAGGGCCAAACTCGACCCAAGCTAGTAGAAGTTCTTGTTTCGGGTTCTGACGATTTTTCACCGTATAGTAATGTTTTCTCAATCGCCATCCCATATCAGGAATGGGCTTGCATACTTCGAAATTGGCATCGCTTCGTAATGCTAATGACACTTGTTGTAGTGCGATTTCTAGAAAAGATAAATAATTTTCACATTTTGCGCATTTGCTTTTAATATCGAGAAATAAATTATACATCTTAATGTTGAAAAAAATTCCTTCATATAATATGTTGTGTGTATATAAGACAATAATTTTAATTAAATCATCCCACTGAATAACATTGGTCGCGTTCAACAAAATATTTATTTTACAACTGTTAAAAGTTTTCTTTACTGAGGTAGAACTATATGATCTAAAAGTACAATTCAATCAGTGCAAAGCATTAACTAAACGCTGACTTTGCTGAACATAGTCAATGCAGTCTATATCTTTATGTTTAATCTTTATAATACCCAGTATCAAACTTAGACATAACAGCTACATAATATATATACGTATATAACATACATAAATATGTTTTTCCATGTTATATAGCAATTATATTTGATATTTGTTAAGTGACTTCACAATAATCATTTTAAAACATCTTCAGAAGCAATCAATCACTTACCATGTAATGGTGCAGTATAATTCTCAGGGTCTAAAAACTTCTTTGTGGAAAGTGAAGATGCCAGTATAGGATTCATTAGTATTATGTTTAAATAATTCTGTAATAAAAGGCAGATTATCTTCTACTTATTGTATTGCACAAATACAGTAAAAGTGAGCATGCTGTATCGAGATGAACCTGCAGTGCTATTTGTCGCTGAGCTATAAAGTCTGGCTCCATGTTACCAATAATTCTTTTTGGTGGTAATGGCAGGTCGAAGCCAGATATGGATAAAGCTGTATTGAGTTGTACGAAGTCATTGTAACGTCTGCTTACTCTCCAAGATCTTTCGGGAAGTGGACCTCTTTGTGTTTTGATTACGTATTCCTGGATATACAAATCATAGTTCTTAGCATGTGTCTAATAATTCGGTGCAAAGTGAAACTGTACGCAGTACAAATGATCGAAGTTTAAAAGCATAACTACAGCTTACTGTGCAGCTGAGAATCCAAGTAATATATATATTCGTATAAGTATATAAAAAGCTAATAAAAATGTCACAATGATAAAATATAGTTATTATAGTCTTAACAGGCTGGATGCTCCTTTCTATCAATGTAAATTAACTTTAATCTCGGTTTAACTTACTTTGTATTGTCTTCTAGTTCTAAGAATTAGAACTTAGAAGTAGAAATTAAATTCTTAGAACTGGAAAATACAAAGTGAAACTGAAATTAAAGTTAATACAATGAAAATAGACAGAGGAAAATTCCTTTTAACAATAGTTTTATTTAAACGAGACAAACAAACGGAGATGATTACAGGACAAACTGAGAAGGGAAGGGAGAGAGACGGACAAAAAGGGGAAAGAGGGAGGGAAAGAGATAAAGAAAAGAGAAAGAGGAAGCAAAATACCGGATTACATACCGTATGTCCGTCGATGGTCCTAGCATTTTCGATGACGCTCGTCAGCTGCTCCGTATCATCTAACAGCACTTTATTCGTGTATCTCTTCTCGAATAAAGCCATTGATCATTAGTCCGACGTGAGGCAGGGCCCGTACGGGGCCGATTGCGTTTGTCTCTCGCACAGTTTCCGCGCGTCGCCATACATGACGCGCTTCTGCTTCATTTCAGCATCGGGCAAACGCACGACAACGACGGCGGCGACGACAGTGACGACGACGGCGACGGCGACGGCGGCACCACTTATCGCGAGATACTTTCAATGTCAACGGTTTGCAACACAACACCACGCAATGTACTAAAGCACGTAGGGGAGGATTGTGTCAGACCTCTCTCTCTCCCTCTCTCTCTCCCTCTCTTTCTCTATCCTCCCCCTCTTTCTTGACTCGTCGCGATAACACCTCAACGGCGCGGCGCAATCCGGAGCTAACCGTGTCGCGTCGTCGTGAAGCCGAGTCCCGATGACGCTTCACGAGTCACTCGTCACCAGTGTGACGTCATCTTAGTATTCAGCCCTTGATTTCACACTATCTAAAGTACAGTCTAGCCGTTTTAGAGCGGTATTCACAGTCCGTTCTTATTTTAAGATCGTCTCAAGTAATGTCTTGAGATGCTAATGCAGCCCTTTGATAGGCTTATGACATCTTAAGACTCTACCTAAAAATTAAAGACATTCTTAAACGGTCTTAAAATAAGAACGGACTATTATGAATATTAGCCTTAGGAAATGATGCCCAACATCCACAATTTCTGTTTTGTTGCATGCGCACTAATGTATCAAGATAAAAAGCGCATTTTTTTGATATTTTAGGTCTGTTTTTTCTGTGGCTGTGGATAAGTGTATAGATAACTATACTTTTGGAATTTAAAATGAGATAAGTATATTTTGATATTTGGCGAAAACGAGAAAGAGACTTCTAGTGCAGTCTAGTGCAAGAAAAACAGATTTTAACCAAAGATTGGATTGGACTGAATTATCACCTTTAAGTGAATTGCGCAGTCGTCGTCTTTGGATACGGGACGCACATCTAGAATATCTGTGCGCTATGACTGTTGATCGAAAAAAAAAGATTCGAAGCTTCATTCTGGTCGATTAAATTTAACGTTGCGTAACGTGTACATATTTCTCGAACCATACGCATTCAAATCTCTTCCTAATTCCTTTCGGATCCGCAGCTGTAAAGTAGCTGTAAGCTGAATACTGCGCCGCGCGCAACAGCAGGACAGCAGGTAGTTGCGGCGCGAGGAGGTGCAAGTGCAGTTGCTGGCTGGTGAGGCTGATATGCGGGGTGCAATGTAGTGCAACTGATCGAGCGTGCGGAAATTGGCGGAAATCAACGGAGATCGTGCGTGTTCCACTATCTTCTTCCCTGGATGGATCTTAATGGATCTTCGTCCTTATTGGGACGAAGTGTCACGGTTCGCTGATTGTTCGAACTCGTTCGTCTGCGCGATAATTTCCAACGTGTAACGCCATTGGTCGGCTAAAGCTAAGAATCAGTGCGGTTGCAGTGACTGGTGATAACCTCGGTGGTCGCGTTGACTTCTCACGCTTCAGTATCGAGGTCGACGACGACGGCGACATCGGCGACGCGAACAGGACGGGAGCCCGCGACATGTAACCGGACTCGGAGTACGCTTGTGCTATTCTTCTTGATGCACCGCGCGTGGCTGAGCGACTATTCTACGTCAAACCTGTGTGATGATCTCCGTGACGGTGACGGTCAGCGAGTCGCAGTCGAAGCCGAGACTCCGAGGCGTCGGTAAGATCTTCCCGATTTGTTGACGAAGGCGAGGAGAAAATGACGGAAAGTTTGATAAACGAGTGGCTGGCGGACTGTAAGGATGTCGCGCCGTCGGAGCTGCACATGTTCGCTAGAACGCTCTCGGAGGACAATGAGATCGTGCGGGCGCTCTATATGCTACTGGAGGAGCGTACCAAGTACAGCGAGGTATAATGCAAATGCCCGGAGAACATTCTCCGTTTACACCGAATTCTAGCCGGAACATTGCCTGCTAATTTCCTAACGATTATATTTGATATCGAGCTTTCTATCGCTACATTGACAGTTTTAGATGTATCATATCGTGCACTTATTTAGGAAAAAAAAGTTATATAATCCTTGACAGATTGAGAGAGAGAGATGCACAGATAAATCTTTAAAGATTTGTTATAAATTATAACTTATAATTAATTAATTGTATTACCTGGAAACAATTTGATATCATACTTCCTATGGCTGCAGTGACGATTTTACTCCTACATTGTGTACTTATTTAGAAAAAGAAATAGCCATAATCATAATTACTCACATATGAGTAATTAAAGATCTATTGTAATTAGTTAATTAGTGTTATTTGTATTTCCTGCAAACAATTATTAATGCTTTGATATCAAACTCTCTATCACTATTTCGATAGTCTTAGATGAATCACATTGTGTATTTATTCAGAGCTATATAATCATTGACACAATGAGAAAGGAAGACATATGAGTCATTAAAGATCTGTTATAATCTATTAATTAATTAGCATTACTTGTAAATAATGTATAATTAGAATATGTATAATTATACATATTCTATCAGTAAATAATGTACAATTAGAATATGTCAGCAATTTTAAATATTTGTTAAAAGCACACATTACTTTGATTATACAAAATAAAATCGGATATTTTTTTTAATCCTAGATTATTGTGTTACAGTTAATGGACGAAGTGTGTAACCAGTTATACAACTTTTATCGATCTCGAGAAATAGAGTTACAAAGGTTCACCCTACAATTTCTACCGACGTTAATATATATTTATTTAAATTCTGCTGCACATGGTGATATTAAGGTAAGATTGTACTTTTATTGAAAATAAGAATATAATGATGTCTTAAAAGTTGGCAAAACAAAGAGAACAGAATTAATTCTAAGTAATATTTTTATTTGTTGCTTATTTATTGCTAACAATTGCTGAAGAGAAAATTTGTTGTTCTGTAAGTTTTTAAAAAAATGATGTTTCACTAAAGGAAGATTAAGTTAGCAGAACAATAAAAAATATATATGTACTATATTTGTTATATGTATATTATTTCGCTAATTCTTCTTTAGCAGAACATCATTTTTTAAGAAAACTTACACAGAAATTAATTTTTTTCTTTAGCAACTTCTAGCATACAAATAAATAACAAATAAAAGTGTTAGAATTGCTTCTGCTCACTTTATTCTGTAAACTTTTAAGATGTAATATAATATACAGAATAATGTTCCAATGTACCGGCTTATTGTGTCATTTGTCAATCGTGTTTTATGTTATCATGGTATATAATTGATATTTAAGCAGATTTATGTAATCCAAAGAACATGTAATTCATATGACAAATAAATTAATATTTTGTATTACCCTATTGTCATAGAATTACTAAATATAAGAAAAGATTATTAAAATTTATAACTTCGTAATTCTATGACTAAATGGTAATACAAAATTTATTTGTCATGTAAATTACATGATAGATAAACTAATATTTTGTATTATACTGTGTTGTACATAGAATTACAAAGTCATTGTATAGATTTTGATAATATTTTCTTATATTTCTTATATTATAATTTTAAAACAATTATTATAGCAAGTTCTAACAATACATTTATTAATTTTATCTAATTTCCAGAGTTGTCGCTCCCTTGAAACTCTGTTAATTGGATTATATAATCTAGAAGTGGTTGATAAATCAGGACAACAAAAAGCAATCTCATTTAGATTACCATCCCTTGCTATGCTTTATATATAAGAGAGTAATCATTGAAGATACATTTTATGTAAATAGATACTCAGTAAGACTTTGGTTCAGATTACACTTCTAGAACTTAAAGCGTTAGCACTTTGGTTAGATGATATCGGACATTCAATATATCAAGTATACCATTTAAAGTGAATTTAACTGACACCGAGTTCAAAATTGCATCTCAGCAAAATATCATGTTACCGAATATTAGCTTACTATAAAGGAACAGCATTGAATGGAATTAAGCAAAGATCTTACTGTAATTTGTGATTTGATAATTAATATTTAATACAGATATATTTAATTTATATTAATGATATTGTTAAAGAAAATTCTAAAAAAAAAAGTATCAATTGCCAAATTATTTTATATTTATTATAGATTTCATAGTTATTTAATATAGTGTATTTTTTTAAATATAGCCTGCGAGTCTAGCACCAGCTTCACTAACAGAAAGCGCCGTACGTCGTTTTGAAGAATGTAATTCGAAACTTGTGAGCTGGGGTCCATTGCAGCAAGTAGAAACATTAAATGCACAAAATAGATTGAAAGTTATGACAGCCTTACTTTTTATTTATAACCAACAACTTGGATATATAAATAAATTTGCTCTAGAACAATTGTGCAAAGTTGCAACAAAGTAAGTTCGACTGTAATTCTTAGCTATACGAAAGCTGTTTTATTTTTGATTGCAATGTAATTTTTTTTCTATTGCAGACTTGTTACTCAAGGATTTATGAAACCAGGACATCATCAACGTTCCTCATATGGCAGTGAGTCTAGCTTTGTTCCAAGGCTTTTACCACGTATACCAGTATCCAGCCAATTCCTCTTGGAATTCTTGCATGCTGTATATTTTGCCATGTATGTAATGTATGCATTTTGCGAATTTAACAGCATTTTAATCTGTTATCTATATATTTATTATTAAATATTTTAATTATTAAATACATCGATTCTGGCGAGCATAGCATCATGGTGAACTAATTTGCTAGCATTGCGTCTTATATAAACATATACGTATTTTTTTTCTCTATAATACATGAATAATATTCTTATTTATAGGTATAACGAATGTTGGTATGTAGGAACTCAAGCTATAGAAGATGTTCATAACAGAGCATGTTATGAAGCATATCCAAATGTAATGTTAGTTACCAATGCTATACGCAATTCCGCCAGTTCTGGAGCACCAGGTAATTGTCATTATAGAAACAAGCATATAATGCATGTATTATTTATTTAAGCTAAATATGGAAGTAAAATGTTGCATAAAGATATTTTATAATCCTTTTTATCCTTTGGTCATTTAGGTCAACCGAGCGATGGACCAATTGGAATTAGTGTTGCATTGTCCCCAGCAACTACTACACCAACCATTTCGAAGTCTATGATCACAAATGCTTCCTTTCGTACTAAGAAATTACCAGGTATGTTTTTATATTGTGTTTATATATATTATAAATTATTAATCTTTTTACGACGACATATAATAAAAAGTAAATGTAGAGACAGAAATAATAACGAAGATTATAAATTGTAATCATTTTAAGAAAATATATTAATACTGTAATTTTTAAAATTATCTAAATTTATTTCGCAAAGATAATATATTTATATTCATTTCTATTAATATTTTTATTTGGCACTATATATATATAATAAAAAATTTATGTCTTATATATTCGAAATCAAACATAATTACGAGGTCTGTTCTAGAACTATCCGATCTCTGCGTATATCCTTGTATCCTGCGTATATCTCTTATTGTGGAAAACAGGCATTTAGTATTTAGGCAGGAATATTCTTACTAAGTGGCACGATCCAACAGCTATTCAGTCGATACGCAGTTGTGAGCGTCGCAAACTCCGAGCGTTGTATTTCACTTGCTCATTCATCTCATCTTATTCAGATTTTTTCAATTTTATCAAATAACTAGAAATCACACGGGACTATATCTAGACTGTACGGGAGTTGGCTAAGTTAGACAATGCCGTGTTTAGTAAAAGAATCTTAAATCAGGTGAGATGAATGAACAGATGAAATGCAACGCTCGGAATTTTCGATGCTCACACAACTGCGTACCTTTGCCGACTGAAGCTGTTGAGTCGTATCATTTGGTGGGGGTATTCCTCAAGATATCCTCTAAATACTAAATGCCTGTTTTCCACGAGAGAGAGAGAGAGAGAGAGAGAGGGGGGGGAGGAAGGGGGAATGCCCAAAGATAAAGATATATACAAAGATCGAATACTTTTGGGATAGATCTCGTATTGTGTTTTACACAAGTTTGTACATTGATGAATATTTCTGGTAAATAAAGGTGCCAAACTACTAACAATATTAACATCACAGCTATGTTTCCATTCAAATAGCTAACACATATAAATAAAATTATAATTGTGTGTTTGAATATTAGTTACCCCTTTTACACAACCCTGATATGTACAACAAACATAAATAATACACAAGCGGATACATATGCATGGACATGAATGTGTCGAGTACGAGTACTTTAGGTCCAAGCTTGCATGTGATCCTCTAAGTTTTATGAAATTATTGCTGAATTGAAAACGTTTTGTTTCATGAATGAATAGTTGTCCAAACAATATTGATACAGTAACTGCACACATTTTCGGGAAAATCACGTACAATGTACTATTCATGTTTTCCCCTCATCTGTATTGTTTGATTTCCTTAATAACTCGTAAATCATAAAAAATACATATATAATATATTATTATAAATAATAATATATGAAAATATTACTTGAACCAAGTTCGCACATTATAAAATTTTAAAATATGTATAAGTTAGAGAGTAATATAAAAAGTCCAAACAAATGTGGATTGCGCGTCTATGTCATTAGACGATCTGGATGAGAAGTTATTTGCGGTCGAATTGAGCAATTGTCAAGCCGAGAAACAACAGCGACCGGCAGTATCGGGCAGCCACAAACGTCGTCCATGGCATTGGAAGCATGCACTTCCAAATTCGGTCGATAAAAAGGATACAGGCGCAGGAAAGGCGCAGTCTTCCTCCTCATTGGAAAGTTCTAGACGTGGAAGTATATGCAGCAGCAGCCAAAGCTCACCGATAAAGTCCTCCCCTAAAAAGAGCAAAGATCAGCAATCAAAGAAAACATCTATCGACAATAAGGACGATATTAGTCAGAAAACTAGAAAAGACAGTAACGTAATGTGCGACTCTACTTTTTCCGACGATAGATTGGCAGCTAATGCTCATCTATATAGCTTGTTAGAGGAACAGGCTCTGGGAGAGATCATTCGTGAATCGGTGGAAAATGTATATACAGAAGGCAACAGTAGATCAATGTATTATTGTGCCACTGCCGCACTGTCGTCAAACACATGGTATTATCACTCCAGTTACAACACTGTAGGAAGGCGTAAAATCTCATCACGCTATGATTCTTCATCAAACTTACAATTATATTTTAATTTGGTATACACTAGCGCACACGCAGGAATGAGTTGTTGACTTATAATAATTCATGTGATCGTGGATGTATTCCTTTCAGAAATACCACTCCCAGCTATAATGAGACATACGCATAAAACAAAATCTAAACAGAAACCAGCGCATGACTGGAAAACATGCATGTCGACATGGCACATTTATCTTCCCGCACCAAGAATTTCAAGTATATTGCTCGACTAGAAAATGTATTCGATGTTCCTTTCCTACTATTTTATCTGTTTCTCACTGTTATTATTTAAGTATTACTTTTGCAATTTATTCCTTTCTTTTTTTATTCTAATTTTCTGCATTGCGTATATTCTCTATATCTAATGTTACATAATATTTTCTACACAACCTACATATTCCGTAAATGTTTTAAATCCACTTATTTACAATATGTCTATAGTTGTATGTATTATTAACTTATAATTAATAGAAAAAAAATGAATGTGATATTGGTTTACATATTTTACAAAATATCTCTTGTTATCTTTTTTTGTTAAGGAAAAAATTTTTCATTCTATGCATATGCACAGTGCAATCAATATGCTATTTAAATGTTCTATTTTATTTTAATTTCTATTCTAGGCGAACATAAACAAATTGTATCTATAGCATACACATTTTATATGTGTAATTTAAATTAATTACGTATATGTGTTTCCTTGCCTCTAAGATGCTTGTTAACTTTAATATTGCTTTTATTATTGTCAATTCCAACTCGATGATGAAAGTTTTTTTTCTTATAATACAGAAACCATTTTTTTTGTCTTCAGATGACATACCAATACAAGTTATAAAAGATGACACTACCGGAGAGGGTAAAGGTAACCTGGTGTCAATCATGGAGGAATCAGAATCAACTGAGCCGAACCGTATTGGTTCCATGAGACAATCAAAGGAACAAAAGACTGCTTCGAAGATTACGAATTTCCCCGTGCTCGGAAAAAAACCTAAAGAGAAAGAAGGGAAGGTAACGAAAAATGCTCACATCGCATCCGAGAAGAAGCTCAGCTCTCAGGCGACATCGAAGGAGAGTATTAAAGGGAGTTTATCAATGTTAAATAGTGAACAGCAAGCAGAAATTGACGCAAATGTCAATGGATGTGCGATTCGAAAGAAAAATAATGTTGAAAATAATGCGATCATAATAGATCCAAATGTAGCGTTGATCGACGGCGAGAGACTGGCGTTAAGTAGAGAGACTGACGTTACCGATGGTAGTAATATGGAAAATTCTATTAATTTAAGAGCACACAATGAAACAGAGTCCATTGGTTCTTCTATTCAAATCAGCTCTGTTTAATGACGATAAAAAGTCTATAAAAAATGTTACATAAAAATAATAGTAATGGGTTGAAGTTATTAAGCAAATAAGCCATTTTCTTCCATCTAACAAAATCTTATTAAATCCATGTATAATGTATACACGTTGCCTTTTCCTAGAATTATTTAAGATCACAAGCACTATTTTCTCAACAATGTATATTGCCACTACATTGTGCGATACTTATAAGGATCGTATATTTTTTTGACATGTAGTAATTTTAGTCAGTTCATTACTCTATTGATCTCCATAATAAACATAAAAATGAGAGAGGGAACAATATGAACTAAAGGTATACGGTTGTTTCGTTAAGTGTTTTATGCATATTGGTATATATTGACTAATTTTTGTAATGAAATCTATAATTTATTCCATATATTTTATAAATATACGTCGTCATACATTGTAATACCTTTTTATCCAGATACAGTTATCGAACTTTACTTCTAGAGATTATAGATCATTACAATTCGGGAAAATAAGTATTATCATAATGCAATACATATGGATATATATTTGGATATATATATATTTGTGTTTAACCCAGATGTGTGCCTTCATGTAGTTATAGCATGCCTTTCTTTATGATTCCAAGTATATAAGTAATAAATTTGTATCGGAAGATACATTATAATTGTCATAAATGCAGCATAAAACGAAGAATAGAGGTGAGTGAGATGAAACGAGGAAATGGAGTATCTAAAACAAAGCTGCGGTGTCACTTAACACTTTGACGGCTGCACTTTTCAGAAAAAAATTTGCTCTTGCCGCCAGCATATAATGACAAAAATTACTGGCTGTCGTCGGCACTTTTTGTAAGCTTTATTACAAATTGAAAGCATTGATTCTTCATCACTGTTGTCTGATACCTAATTGCTAACATTCGATAGGTTATCAGCGTACACCTCGTCAATTTCACACATTTTTAAGGATATTTTCTTTAAGTTTATAAATATATAGCTTTTGATCTATAAATCTATAATATATATATACTATTTATTAATATAACTATATAGTGTATATATATTAAATACAATATATATATCATACCTTTCGCAACAATCAATGCCAGCTAATAATCGCTAAGTCCGGATCTACAATAGGGTTTTAAACCTTAAGCCATAAGAAATGGATGAATCACAATTATTCTTCTCGGATTCGACTGTAATTGGTTAATTTCTTATGGCTCAAGGCTTAAAACACCTATTGTAGATCCGGGGTAAGGCCTGTTACACAATAGGGTCGTAAGCCATAAAAAATTAAACAGTAATAGTCGATTATTTTTCTCAAATTCGACTGTGATTGGTCAATTTCTCACAGCTTACGGTTTGCAATCCTATTGTGTAAGTTCGGATCTGCAATGGGTGTTTTAAGCTTTAAATCGTAAGAAATTTATGGCTTAAGGCTTAAAAATTTATTGTAGATCCGGCCTTAATCAATTTACGTACATATAAACTCAGCCGATAAAGGTGTTTCTACATAATTCGCAAATTGCAAGACGTAATTCGCAAACGCAGAATTTTTGCGATTTGCGAATTATGTAGAAGCACTTTAGTCCGAATCCACAATAAATGTTTTAAGTTTTAAGCCGTAAGAAATTGACCAACTACAGTTAAATGCGAGGAGAATAATTGATCGTAATTCATCCATTCCTTATGGCTTAAAGCTTAAAAAAACTATTATAAATCCGAGGTTAAACGCTGACTCAATGAACTCCCGTATAGTCAAGTCAGCCGATAACCACTGGCTCAGTGAACTCACGCACACGTGAGTCCGGCCATCAAAGTGTTAATTATAAACAACATGAATAGGTATCTATATACAGAGTATCAGGCATATCTGGGTTGAATAATAGACACCTGCTATTAATTTTTTCATAATTGTTCCAATGTAATATTAAAGATTCATGACGAATTTTTGTTTTTGCAAATAGTAACATATATATATATATATATTAATATAATTATATGTATATACGATATATATATAATTGTTGAAAATAATTACGAAATTCAGATGTAAAGAGAAATTTTATTCTCACGTGAACGTTGATCATCTACGTTGAAAATGATCAACTATCAGAAAAATACGTTATCTGTGCATAAAAAATGGGAATTTATTAGTAGTAAGTATGTATTTTTCAATAAAGTTCGACTTAATTCTACATTTTATTATACGGCTTCCATGATTTATGGCTCGGCCAAGACGCGGTCTTTTCGTGTAAGATCGCAACTCTTTAAACTTCTAATTCTAAACTTAATACATTTGATTAGTAACATAGGAATGACAAGTAGCAAAAAGAGAATCACGTTTTTTAAGCGCAATACGAATTTTTATCTAAATAAAAAGAATTAAAAATATTTTTATAAATTAATGATATTAATAAGAAATATTAATCTATCTTTAGAGTCTTTAAAGTCTTGCTTCATTTTGTATGTCTATGCGCATTTCTTTTTAAACGAGATGTACAAATATAGATGTAAAGTTGGCGAATGAAAGAGAGATGCGCCAAAGACTGTAATACGCTACGCTACTTCATGTGATATTTAGTTCTCCCTTTACAATTTTTTTCCCTAAAGAGAAGTTAATTTCATAAGTTTCTTCAAAGGATACTATGATCAATTCCTATTTCTTTATGCACGTTTTGTGAATTCACAGTGTTGTATTAAACTATTAATGTGTAAATATTATAAAAACTAATTGTGTATAGAGATGAGAGAAGAAAGTTTGATTCAAATATAAAAGAATCTTAATATATCGTGAATTGCATTTGTTAAAAATAGGTCGAAATATTTCGAACTATGAAACAATATATCATGAATGAAACGGAGTCAATGCTTGTTTGAAGGTCAATAATTAATTATTCTGTGGCCTATATTGTATTAATTAAAGTATAAATATGAATTGTAAAAATACATTGAAGTTATTTGTGAAAAAATTGATATGGCAACAATAAAAATAAGTGCCACTACTTTATTCAAGATTCTTTACAGTGATTTCTTTCATTCGATGTGATAGAACTGGAGAACCTTTTAAAACTGCATGTTCCTAATATACATATCTAATTATTTTCATGCAGGAATATTACCTTCTACGTTTGTCTTTGTATTATTTAAATAAAACTGTTTTAAAAACGTTTCTTGAGTTGTAAAGTGAATATGAATTCTATAACATATATTAATTTCTTCGTTGTTTGTTTACTGTATCGAAAAATTCTTGTATTTTATCATATCTTTAACATTTTAGACTTCAATTTTTAAGTACTTTTATTCCCAGATCTCTTTATATTTATATGAGAACATTTTTTCCTATTCCAATCTTTTTTTGATATTAGATTTTTAGGTACTCTCTGATTTGTGAATAATTCAAGCCGCTTTTAGACGATCAATAGCGCCTATCGAAATATCGCTTACAGAGTGCTTTTTAGAATGCGAAACGAAATCCGCGATTCGAGCCGACTATCAGTTTTACAGATTCGCAGCTGTAAATCCTCGATCTGACCGCGAAAGGGAAATAAGTAGCTTTCCATTATATGGTAGCTAAGGAAGATAAACGGACGGATTATCCTGCTATCTCTTTCGCGATTCTCACATCAGGATAGCGGTCTTTGTCAGGAAACTTATTTGCATTTACATCGCAAATACATCATTGAAAGATTACCGAATTTTTAAAGGAATCCAAGACAATAGAGATAAGAAAATTTTTCAAGCAGATTTTAAAGGACGGTCGTAAATAAAGTTCAAGGGTTTACAAATATAAGATTTTCAGATAAGAAAATGCATTCTCTTGAAAAAAGTTTCGAAAGGTATCTCGATTTTCTCAAAGATTTTCTAAAAAAAATACAAGATTGTTAATATTCCTCAAACCTTTTAATTTTAACTTCCAACTTTCTTTTCTCCGAATATTGTGTCATTCTATTTTGTAACTATATTTTCTCGCTCCAAATTTTAATTAAAAAAATTGAATCTTGTCGACACCGCGCACCGACATGTCAACCACTATATAACGCAATTAATACGCGAACTGAACGTGACGTCTATCAATTATTATCTGGGGATGACAATTAATACCCAGAAATTTCGGTCATAACAGGGATAGATTATTAACAGATGATATAGTTATATCGCAATGACAAGCATGACGAGTTTGGCAATATTGGTTTCACACTACTGAAAATACATTGATACATTGAGTGGCATTCAATGAAATACCTTTTTAAAAAATCGATAAGATGCAAACTGTTTCAATAAATTTGCTGATGTATTTAAAACAAAATTTCTCTGACGCTGAAATTACATATGTATTACGTATGTCCTTGTTGGAAAGAAGGTGAATAACAGGGAATGGAAGAGTTATTATTTCGTTACTTTTTCCGTTACTATTTATAATAATTTGATAATGATGTTGCAATTTTTTATCACTATAATGATAACTAACTATATTAATTAGGACACGTCTATACCATATAAAGGTATTCGGCGAAAGTCGAAGAGAGTGATATATAAATCTTTGTTAGAATGTAAATTTTGATACATGGGTCGTGTTCGGATACAAACTGTACTAACTACAGTTATGTTACGTATAATCTATAGTTTTTAGTGTTTATAGTACTGCACTAGGGTGTTTTTGCAATAACCATCCAGATACGATAAACGCTAAAATCACGTTATCCTTTTCTTAATTAGTTGTTAAGAAAGAAAAATTTTAAATATTATATTTAGGATGTAGTCAAAATTTCATTACAAATATTTAGAAGAAATATTCGATCGATTAGGAGAAAGAGTTTTACTAAATTTTATTAAATCAAAGAATATTTCAAAGTATTTATGCTATTGTACTGACTGCATCTTTAAACGATTACGAAACAGCGAGTTTATTGAATTTCTGATAACATTAAGTTGCACTTGACAGATCTGTTTAGTTTCTGTTACTGATCTGTTAACTTATACTTCGTTAAAAAATGTTTATTTGATTCTTACTGGAATAATGTAAATGTTATTGCAATATAACTATAGTATATATAATATGTTGATCCAATAACGTGGTTTGTATCTGTCACTTTACAATTGATAAAATTGCAGATTCTATAATAAAACAATATCTACAGTAAATTAATATCGTAAAATCAAAAAAGACCTACGACATTTAAATAAATTTTCAATAGTTTCAATATATGTGTAAAATAAAGAGTATGTTAGATAAAAATTTCTATCATTATTGATTCAAAATAAGATTCTTTATAATCAATATACTTTGCTCGTTTTTAATCTTTGTATCGCTGTTAAGTGCTCCTCCTTTGTAATCGTTTTCAGTTGGTCGATCACAGCGACTTGAATTTATGGAATATCGTATTTTTGGCCTCTCAACTGCAATTTCAGTTTCAAAAACAAGAAATATTCAAAGGAAGATAAGTTCAGTAAATAGAATAGGTGGTATATAAGGTGTTTTTTTGAATTATTCGACGATAATACAGAAACTCAAACCACTGTGACTATCTAACTGAACGACTACAAAAGAGAAATACTCGACGGTAATGCCAAGATTGAAAAGAAGGGCAGAGCAGCGTAACTGATTGTAAAGGATCTTATTTTGCATAAAAAGTATTCGACATATATTTTTCTAGTGTATTTTTTATTTTATATTATTTTTTAAGCTTATGGATCACACTGTGCAATTATAGCGTGCTTTCTTATTAAAGTATATTCCTATACATTGCATATTTTATTCGAAAAATAAAAAAAAGATATAGAAATGCCTCTGAACGTCTTAGAATGTTTTCTTTCTTGGAAGTCGGTGTTGCATGGATTAAACGTATATAAATTAAATTAAATTTAAATTTATATATTAAGATGATTAACTCCTTAAGAAGGCAAAGAGGGACATTTAAAAAAATTCAATATTAATTGTCACAACTAAATTT